GAGGAGGAAAACCAACTCTAAATTAAATGTCAGCAAAGAGCCCTTCCTGCAAGTCAGGTGTATATTTGTCTTTCTAAAATGGTATTCAAATTCTTTGGAATATTGCAACTTCAACTGATGCAAAATGCAGCTGCCTAAACATTGCCAGAAGCATGAGTTCAATCTGATCAATACAATGGACCAGATGCAGAGGTAGTATTCAACAGGTTCTGACCAGGTCTGGAGAACCGGTAGTGGAAATTTTGAGTAGTTCAGAGTAGTTCAGAGAACTGACAAATACCATCTCTGACTGGCCCCAGCCCCATCCATTCTCTGCCTCCCTAGTCCCAGCTGATCGGCTGGGTCTTCTTTGGTTGCCCTGCACAGGAGAACAGAGCTAGAAAGCAGGTTAGTGGATTTTGCAGTATCCTTCCCTCAGGAGAGGGAATTGGGATTTTGTAGTAACCTTCCCCCAGGAGTGGGGAGGGGATGGAGATTTTACAGTATCCTTCTCCTGCCACACCCACCAAGCCACGCCTACCAAGCCATGCCCACGGGACCAATAGTAAAAAGATTTGAATCCTACCACTGACCAGATGTGCTGGTTGTTACCTCCAGTAAGCCTTTCCAGTCTTAGAAATGTTGACCCCAGTTGGCCGAAGAATCATCTTCACCCATATGGGTACTCCAAAGTCACCTCATATACCCATCTTTAAAAAGAAAGCAGCCAGGAAACAATAAGGAGTAAACTCCTCAAGGGTCACCACCATGACTGCAGGATACAGTGTTCAAGTATTAAAGAGGCTCCACTTTAAGAGGCTTTTTGCAGAAGGTTTTTTAAAATAGGCTTGTTCTTGCTATCTCTTTCTCAATTTTAGAGGTCCCTGTAAGCTGAGATGTTTTTCACTGATTTTGCTGAAGGTTTTCCTAAGCAACATGTGTTTGCTTTTATTAGCCGTTACTGTTTTATTATTGTGAATTGAATTTATTATTCAATCTATTAAGCCACCTTGAGAAGGTTTTTCTCTTTGAAGCAGTGGACAACTTTTAAGATAAAATGTATACATACATACATACATACATACATACATACATACATGTATATGTATATGTATATGTATATATATGTGTGTGTTTTCTTAAGTTTTCGCAGGTACTTACATGTATGGTATTCAGCTTTGTTCGGGTATTTTCCCACGTCATTATAGTTGTGCTTTTAAAGTTGTAGCAATGTTTCGGCAGAATCTCATCTGCCATCATCAGGCTTCTGTATTGTGTTTGTCTGTGAGTCAGACTTTTACAGTTGTTTCAGTTTTAAATTTGGAGCTAGCCTACTGCTGTGCCAGAATGTTTTTTTCTTCATCCTGATTGGTTGGGAGTCCTGGTCTGTGTTTATTGGTCTTGGAGTTTGCTGTGTTCTGCTTGATTGGTGTTTCTAATATCTTCTGTCTGTTTTGTGGCTTTTTTGTGTCTTGATTGGCTGGCAACATTGGGTTCCTGCATTGGAGGCTTTTAGTGCAGCTTGGCTCCGAGTAAATGGACGGCTATCATTTGTTAGGAAGCTAGGTTTCATCTGGGTGCCTGGCTGGGGTGTGTTTGAGCTGGAGGTATCAGGGGGGATCTGTTTGTGCCCAGGTGTTTGCCTGGCTAGTGGTGTGGAGATTTTTTTGTTTGTGAGTGCAGACTTCCAAATAATTGACAGTCTGGTGGAATCATCTCTTCTATTCATGCTTTCAGGTCTTTTTTCAATCTCTATGGCTTCTCTGATAATTCTGTAGCTGGGGTTTTCTATAGTAGCTAGGGTTTTGGTGCCATTGAAGTTGATGCTATGACCTGTGGCTTTCATGTGTTGGACTAGTGATGAACTGTGTTCCAGATTTTTTACTGCATTTTTGTGTTCATCCAGGTGGGTACTTATTCTTCTATTGGTCTGTCCAATATATGTGGCTGGGCATGATGCACAGGGGACTTCATATATGCCTTGGTTTTCCAGGTCAATTTTATCTTTGGGGTTTCTAAGGATGGCTGCTATTTTTCTGTTTGTTTTGAAGGCAGTCTTGATGTGATGCCTGTGTATTATCTTACTGATTTTGTCTGTAGTACCTGTAGTACCTGCCCTACATAAGAGGTACTACAGAGAAAAGAGAGAGAGAAACATACATGCAAGTAAACCTTTACTGAATGCTCTTCTAAAATGTTCCAGGCACTGATAAGCACTTCCATTGTTTTTCATTACTGCTAGTGTTTTCAACCAAATGGGCAAGACAGAAGGTTGAATCTCTTTAAGTAGAATCATTTGGCCTTTATTCAAAGTGGTAGAACAATTTTTAGCGGATTCTATTAACCCATTAGAATAAAAAGCAAAGCGTACTGTACTTTAACAAGAGAAAAAAAGAAATCAAATGTAAAGTTAGACAGGTGAGTCTTGATAATACACATTTAGCTGAAGATGCATGGAACACTGTTCCCTTCCCACCAAAGTGATCCCTATTTTTCTACTTGCATTTCTACATGCTTTCAAACTGCTAGGTTGGCAGAAACTGGGACAAGTAACAAGAGCTCACCCCATTATGCGTGCTAGGGATTCAAACCACTGAACTGCTGACCTTTCTGATCCACAACTTCAGCATCTCAGCCACTGAGCCACCACATCCCTTATTGCTTAAGGATAGTCTCCCCAAAACACAAGGATTAGTGATTCATCCTTGCAATGCTTGGCTAACCCACTCATTTTGAAACATGAGTGTGTATGGAAAGGTCTCTAACCATGGAAAGGGCACTCCAGATACCCACTAATGAAAGACTAGCTTTTTAAATTTCTCCCTGATGGACTGTAGCTCCAGAGAATCCTCCAGTATCCAATATGGGAGTCCCTAGCAACCATAGGGAAGAAAGGTTATACCAAGGACTGTGGTTAACACTGTGAAGAGAAGTAAAGTGCATGCTGGCTGGGAATCCTGACAGTTGAAGCCCACCCCACTTAATGTTCCCAAGGTTGAGACATACTGATCTAAAGCACTTTTTGGAATCAGCCCTCCATCCAAGCATGTTCACTTGATGGCCCTAATGTTTACCATCCCTGAGGGCAGAAGAAATAGAAGCACAGGCTTGGTTTATGACTTTGCAGAAATTATCTATTACTTATCCCTTTAATCACAGATTGGTGGGGTCCATCTATTTCACCGTCCTGGAAAATGATCCAACATCTTAGTTAATATTGGAACCGTGTGTGTGTGTGTGTGTTTCTATACATGCATGTGTATGCATGTAGTCTATAGTTTAAATCTTTTATATATGTGTCTGAACATTTGTTTTATATTTTGTGGTTCTGGCTCACTTGGGATGACGATAGCTAAGGCTGCTGGATACAGCACTGAACCATTCTTATCAGATGAAATGCCAGAGTGATTTGGCAATGCTGCCAGCAATGGTGAGTCACACATGTATTTCTCGGCAAAACAGTCCTCAAAATTTTCACTCTGGGAATTGAATTTTTATGCCAAAAGATTATAAACCTCTTTATGATTTTGGATTTTCTGCAAAACAAATCACTCCCCGAGGAAGAAATGGGATTGCGGGACCTCCTGAAGGGGAACTGAAAAGGATTTGAAAAGGTAAAGCTGCCACTGATTGTGACTTACGTAAAGAGCAGTTTTGAATAAACAGCATCTACTAAATGAAATTTTAGCAGCCTTTTTCCTGGCAACTTCCTAATTTTTCTCCGTGGCAAGAAAGACTTGCCAGATATGCTCCCAGGTTTGTAATGAAACTAGTCCAAAGCAGATTTCCAAACACATTTACTGGTAAATGTTGTTTGCTTTCTTAGTACATTCTCATTTTTATACTCATTTATCTTTTCTAGTTTACAGAACGCTAAGACTTGCTAGTTAATGGTCTTTTTAAGTGATTAAATATCTGTTGTTATATAAAGGTTAGGTAATAAAAACAGATCTATAATGAATAAAAGCAAGACATAATAAGGGTCCCAATAGCATTTCTTTAAAATTCTCCTAAGGTTGCTTTTGAAAAAGTCACAATCAGAATACATTTACTAGCAATACTTTGCAACTGGATTTAGAGGCAGATTACCTCTGTGGAAAGTTAGCACCCACCCCTCTCCTTGAAGAATGAAATATTCCAGGAAATATTAAAAAGGCAGAATATTATATTTCCCTAAAGGAGAAACTGGGCCAGCCTATCTATAAGACAAAAGACCTTCAGCTCCAGGATGATGGGATTAGCCCTCACTCAAGATCCAAATAGATGGGGAAGAAATTGAGGTAGTGACAGATTTTATTTTCCTGGGCTCTAAGATCACTGCAGATGGGGACTGCAGCCAAGAAATTTAAAGACGCTTGCTCCTGGAGAGGAAAGCTATGGTAAATCTAGACAGCATACTAAAAAGCCTCACCCTGACAACAAAAGTGCGTATAGTCAAGGCTATGGTCTTTCCAGTTGCAATGTACGGCTGTGAAAGTTGGACCATAAGAAAGGCTGAGCTCCAAAGAATTGAGGCCTTTGAACTGTGGTGCTGGAGAAGATTCCTGCAAGTCCCTTGGACTGGTCAGTCCTAGAGGAGATCAACCCTGACTGTTCTCTAGAAGGCCAGATCCTGAAGATGAAACTTAAATACTTTGGCCATCTAATGAGAAGGACTCATGGATAAAAGCCTAATGCTGGGAAAGACTGAGGGCAATAGAAGAAGGGGATGACAGAGAATGAGGTCGCTGGAGAGTCACTGAAGCAGTGGGTGTGAGCTTTAATGGACTCCAGAAGATGGTAGAGGGCAGGAAGGCCTGGAGGAACTTTATCTATGATGGGTCAGACATGACTTTGCAATGAACAACAACAAGCTCCAAACCAGGACAAAGTCATTAAGATACAATAGGAATTGCCCAACACCCAGCAAGCCTCTTCATTACATCATCACCCAGCAAACTTCAGCCAAGCCTGAGAGTTCAGACAACCTACAAAGTAAGCTATGACCCCTACAGCAGCCAATATAATACATGTTCTTGCACATGTATTGAACTTGAGGAAGCTCAAGTTCAAAGCCCAAGAGAAGGTATAAATAATCCTCACTCATAACTCCATATGGTCAGCTTCCCAGGACCTCAAACTCATCTGGTTCTTTTCATCAATAAACCATCTTTCCAATCAGCCTCCATGTTTCCAGTGTCTTTCTCCCAGCTTGGAACTGACCCAGACGGATATTTCTCCCAACACCTCTAATAGAATTAGTGGTTTGAAATTCTGAAATTGTGATAATGAAAATGATCACTTGAACTCCACAAATGTGATCTGATCCCTATGAAAATTCACTTTGGGAAAATTTACCCAAATGGAAAATTCACAGATATAATGGGAGATATTCTAGAACTATGAAGTGCAGCTACCTGGGATAGGCTGAGTCTTTTAGAAAGTTGGAAATCTAGATAGGAACCATAGCAATAAAAATGCACAGATGAGGTCCTGCCTTGCTTTGTTTTGAACCCAAATCTAGCCAGACCTAGTTTTTCAGCTGAGAAGGAAGGTATGAACATATAAAAGGGCATGAACTTGCTGGGAATGAAAGGGTAAGTGAGTAGGTAATGCTTTTCATAGAGAAAATGTACAATACAGGTTGTAGGGCTGGCTTTCTATTTGTTTTGAATATACATTTTCAGTATATCAGAACAGGAAGGACCCTCTAGAGTTAACATTAACAACTTGAAAAAGTGCAGTCTCCCTCTTTTTCTATGGCATAGCTTATGCTTCAATGGAATTAAAATACATTATATTACATCTTATCATCATCTATCCTTCTATCTGTCTATCTGTCCATCCATCCATCCATCTATCATTAAGAAGATGATTTTCAGCAATATTCGGTTTTGTCACATACATCAAGAGTATCAATTTGACTTCCTAATTAATCCAGAAGAAGAGGTTGTCCAATGATTAGCCTATCTACTCCCTTTTCCATTGTCAAAAGCAGTAACCAATCAGATGCCGCTAAATATACGAGCAGGACATGAAGTTTATGCAGCATTTAATATTTAATGGCAGTTTCTGTTTAGGGAGATCCCATTTAACAGCTACCAACTGTTGTTCCTTTATTCTACAGCCAAATGCTGGGCACAAACTATTCACTGTATCTGTAAGTGGGGATCTAAACTCAGGATTTTGTTTTCTTTCCAATCCTTTCAATGAATTAATGACACATATAAGAGCTATTAATTATTGTAGAATGGAATCATCCATTAATAGATTAATGGAGTTTAGGTGGAGTTTAGAATTTGGTCTTCTAAGTTCATTTATATAGTAATCAGTAAATTTTTTCCTAGTAATACTTGAAATTGCCAACCTAATAGTCACCATCCACAAACATCAAGGTTTTGTCCATTTAACTTAATTTATATATTTAAAAAGTTGAAACTGGGAAACAATTCAAAATCATTCTGAAGACTGTTGGCATCACCACTGCCAAATCGCCTCTTCCTACATGTCTTCAACATATATAGTTTTTATAAAGAAACATTAAGAGGAAGCCTTTCCTAGTTGGAGTATATTCACCATGATAAAAGGCATATCAGCCAAAGCAATTTTCTATCAAGAGGTAATGCAGTTCTATATTCTTACATCAAATCACATTTGATTTAAGAAAAAATAGGTTCCTTTGATAAATTTTTCCATAGCAAAAGGGAACAATTCTCTCCCACAGTTTCACATTTCTGTATACTTCTTATACAATCCTTTTTTCCCCTAATTTTGTTCTCCTTTAATTGTTTTATTTTGCCTTAATTTTGCAGCATGAAGTGTAGTAAATAAATATAAAGTAACAAAGGAAATCAAGGCAATGAACATACATAGTACTCCTTCCTCCTCTTCTTTTTCAACAACAACCTTGTTGGGCTGAAACAGACTGACTGCCTGAAGCCATTTCTCTTAGCATTAATGCCTGCAAATAATCGGGCTTAAATTATCCCTGTTTGCATTGTTTTTGCAAATAGATGCATAGATGCTGTTGCATGAATTAGAGATGCCAGGGACTCAAAATACATTATATGAAAAACAGTGACAGTTTGGTCTAAAGAAAACACCCTGTACACATAAAATAGATGTATGATTTCTTATTTTAAAAAAATAACAGTCTCTGTGACTTATATGTGTCTCATATTAAATAAAGGTCAGCAACTGCTTCTGGAAAAAAAAGCATAAACAAATTATTTTTTCAGTTCCAAAGAATGAAAGCAGATTTCACCTTCAAGGCATCAAACACTTTGTGAAGTGTAGTACTGGAGCAAATTCAAAGGATCATACCCAGTATCGATTGCCATCTCAAGAAAACCATCACTGAGATGAAGCAAACCGTGAATCTCTCCATTAGGAGGCCTGTAGGAGGTTGTGTTTTGCCTTGTGTACCACTTTACACTTTGTGGCTTTTCCTTTTAACACATTGCCAGATCAGTGGCAACCAGATGGTTGCAGTGTGCATGACATAATAAAGCAGTAGCTCTAGGCCTCACTTGATCACTCTTGCCATTTGGAGAGAGAAAGCACAACTTCTAAAGCATTCCGTCCTACTTACATAACTCAGAGTATGCGGCTGATTTGTTCTTTCACTGCAGCCACATCGTGTACCCAAAGAAAATACCTTGCAAATCCACGGTAAAGGAACATACCTGGTTGGAGAAGCGGGGAGGGAGTTGTTTGTTGGTTTCTTTAGGAAACGTTTTTGTCAATGAAATAAGCAGCTGTGCCCCCCCCCCAAAATGGGTGCCTTTGCTCTCAATTTAATATACTTTGCTCAGCAAATAAAATTATTAAGAGTGTGAAGAGAACAATTAGATCAGTGAAGTCGTACTTAGGCTGATCACTTATTTCCCTGTGTGTTTTTTAACTTAGTTAAATCTCCCTGAAGCTCCTCTTTGTATAGATAAACTGATAAGCTGTAGCTCTTTCTCAAATGCTCCGTACTGGTTTGAGGTACTGACAGTTGTTTATAACTTAAGGAACTTCTGTTATTGAGATTCCTACGTTAGATCTCATTTAGCCCTCATTGTCCCCATAACTCTGTTAATGCTCTTAAGAGTCATCACTACAAAAGTTTTATTTGTGAACATCTTTGAAGTAAATAGGAATGGAATAGGATGCTGTTTATATGCATGTAATATTGATTTTATCAAACTCTTCACAAGACATTTTCTTAGTAGTTTACAGCATAGCCATTACTATCTAGAAAATCACTAACTCAACCTAATGCTATATTTCTCCTGGACAAAATTTACTGATGTGGTTAATAAGAGTTGACATTGACTCGATGGCACATAATAACCATCAATCAAAGATAATTAAAACATCAATATCTTTATTGAGGAGAGGAGAGAATGAGAGAGAAGATAGAGAAAAATTAGGAGAGAAAGTGGGGGGGGCTTACATTTAGAAAAACATCACTTTCAATGCTATAACATTGATGTCAAAATATGGCATTATATCATTTTCATTGCTCCCAAATGCTAAGCAGGATTCAGACTGTGACTTGTGTACAGCACTGCAATCATCCAACTTTTACATAAGAATAATCTGTATATTTGTGAATTGTTAAAGAAGGAAGAATGTCACAAATATAATCATTTTATTAGAATAAATTGGAAATCCCAGATATGGTTTTAGCCCATAGAATCATGGATTATGAATAAGTGGAATGTCAATCTCTGATACTAATTAATAACACAGCTTCTCTATTGCTACAATACAGCTGCACTTGAAAGAAAATAACTAGCCTCTCGTTATTTTGTTCAGTTTAGTTTCTCCTTTCAGGCAGAAGTTGTAACAAAGTTCTGTATGAGTGGAAAACTATTTTGGCAGGATAAATTGCATATTTATTCTATTAGCTATGAATATGCATCATGTGCCCGCAAAAGGAGTTCCAAATGGAATTAATTACTAAGTCTTCAATACATTAGTAATTGTATCTTTTAGTCATGTTGTGCAGATGTAGCTTATATAAGTCACTGAGAGTCGGCATCCAATGATCCCATTTGCACTCAGAAGCTAAGCAGAGATGGGCCCAGGTAGCACCTGGATGGGCAACATCCACTCAATAGAATTGTAGTCTATTCTGGAAGAAGGTAATGGCAAACCATCCTCATTCTGCTGCATTGACTGTTGCAGGGATAAAGTCAGAGAAGGGAAACTCTAGACAGTTTTGGTGCCTAATATGCAACAGGCTTCTTTACTAATCTGGAGAAGTCTCCACCATTTGCTTTTATTATTCAAATGAACAGTGGTCGTTAGTAGTCAGGGCAACGTTTTGTCATCTCATTATGTCAGGAAAACTACATGAAGAGAAAGACCTAACTTCCTTTGTTCTTTGCAAAATCCAAGACAGCAGCATCTTGTGGCTGACTTGAGAGTAAGTAAACAACTGTATAGAAAAAGCTGCAATCTGAGAAAGAAAGCTAGTGAGAGAATTGTTGCTCACCTGCTGGCCGAGATCTGACGCTGGGGCGGAGTAGATCGGGCGAAAAAGAGTTTCGTCCCATAACCACCCTCCTCCTCCAAAGAGGCTCCTCCTTTTCATACTTATCCCGGTCAACTTGAGCACGTGTGCGCGTGTATCAGGGCCAGCTGTGGGAGCGCACACGTGTGTGTGTGTGTGCGCGCGCGAGCACATCTGAAAGGGGAAGAGGTGGGTTTATTCCCGCAAAGACTTTCTTTCCACACTTTTTTCTTTCTCTCTCCGTTCTCCCCTCCCTCCACCTCCTTCTCCCTCGGCGCTCGATGGGGGGAATGCGGTGGAAACCGCAGAAGGAGGCAACGTTTCCCCAAGGCTTCAGCTTCAAGGTGCGACGGGTCCTTCGCTTCTCTCTCAGCCGCGTCAGGCAACTGCAGGGATCTCGTCCTCCTTCGGAAACTGGCTAAAGAGAGCTCTGGATGGGACTCTTGGCCTTGGGTGGCCGCCTCGCCCAGGAACGCGACTTCGCACCTAACTAGGTGATCAGCACCAGGGACAGCTCCCGGCACCCATTCTTCCCGCGCCTCCATCC